TGACAAGGGCAGGGAGTGATAGGACAAGGAGAATCGCCTGAAGCTGAAAGAGGGTAGATTTAGATTAGGTATTGGGAAATTCTTCCCTGTGAGGGTGGTGAGGCACTGGCACAGGTTGCCCAGAGAAGCTGTGGTTGCCCCGTTCAAGGCCAGGTTGAGTGGGCATCGATCAGCGGTTGGTGAGCAATTGTGCTGTATATCGTTTGTTTTCTGTATTCTTTTATCATTATTATTCTCTTCCTTTTCTGTCCCTTAAAACTTTTTATCTCAACCCATGAGTTTCTTTTTTGATTCTCTCCCCTATCCCACTGTGGGGGGGGGGCAGTGAGACTTTTCAGGGAGCCTGATGAAAGTCTTACCAGGCTTTCTGGGTCTTCAAATGGTACCAGAACTGAAAGCCCAGGTGGTTAAACAGTTGTAGACTTCTCCACTGGTGCTTGCTTTGTGGGCAAGTAGGAGAAGCTGCTCAATAAGGATCTTAAGAGTAGGGGACCACCTGGTGCAAGGGGATACCAGCTGCTGTGGCTCAGATTTCTGGCTCTGGGCAGAATAGGAGGATCCAGATGCCAAAAAAGAGTTTAAATCTCTCTGCTTCAGGTGTCTGAAGGCCTGTAGTATGGCACGTGCCCTGGTGCAGGACCAGGACCCAGGACTAGTATGCTTTTTAGTGGTGCCTGGAGCCCTCTTGAGTAGTCGTTCCTCCTTCAGGGTACCTGTGCTGCCTTGCGGTGCCCTCTAGTGTCTGGCAGCTCTCTGAATCTGGACAGCACAGAGAGCCTGGTGCTTTTCCACAAGCTTCTTCAGTTTGGTAGAATGGTTATTTCTGTGGCATGGCTTAGCCCAACCAGGCCTTTTTGATGCACACCACACTCGTGGGTGTATCTTCCCCCACACCTCAAAATGGATCTTGGAAGGAGTGTTTTACCTGTTATAAGGCTGTTTTGGCACAGTAATTTGGCACTTTGCTCTGAAAAGTGCTGTCTTTTCAGTTCCTACCCTGTCCTGATAGGTGGTCTGTTCTGTTCTTTCAGAGATGCTGTGACTGTCTGCGACCATGATGCGTTTGTAAGTGAAGCCTTGGATCTCCCTGACTTCCAAACTCGTGTGAAGGAGTGCAAAGAGAGCCTGCCTGCTGTACCAGGTGAGGATCAGCAACTTGCCTTGGGTTGGTGTAATGGGAAGCAGGAGGTCTTGGTGACCCACTGCTTTAGGGCCCAGGCAAAGCTGTGAACATGCAGTTTCCTGCTGCTGGAGAGGTGCTCTTAAGTTGTCCTGGAGCTGTGCAGGACAAACTGAGTGCAAACTGAGCTCGTTTCAGTTGGAGTTACATAGTCTTGTGGTTCAGTTTTTCTAAAGCTGCTAGGTTTGGGGATTGGGTGCTGTTGGGGGCAATTATAGGCAAAGCACCTGTGTGTGATTTTTCTGAGCTGACCAGATTTCTGCTCGTGTTGAATGCTGTCATAGCAGCCACAGTGCGAGTCCCTATGTCTGGGGAAAGTCTTGCTCTAGAACCAGCTCCCTGTGAGGCGCACTCTGAATTTCAGTTGCCCTGTTGGCAGTGAGGCTTTCAGGGTATGACACAGCACCATTTGCTGCCTGGATCCTGATGTCGGGGAGAGTCAGGGCACTGTGGGACAAGAGTCAGGTCCCTCTTGAACTGCCAGCTCTGTCATGGGCTGTGAGCAGAGCCCTTGTTTGCCTGGCGTTGGATATGCAGTTATGCATGATCTGTTTTCTTGGTGGTGCTCATTCTGTCTTCCCTTGTAAATCTTGCTCCTGCGGGAAAGCCAGAGGCCGAGGGAGGCAAAAATGAACATGGCTGGGCATGTAGACTGGAGTTACTAGGCTGTTGAACTAAATGGTGTCTGACTGGGCAGTACGTGGATGACTTCTATTTACAAATCCTTGTTGTCTGTTTTCTCCAGGAAATGTGAGTGCTTATCCTGAAATTGTGTTCTTGGGAACAGGATCTGCAATTCCAATGAAAATCCGAAATGTCAGTTCCACACTGGTAAATACCAGGTAAATCCTGATGTCGTGTGTTCTGCTTGGAGATGCTCAGTGTCTCAAGGAGGTGTTGTCCAAGGGCTGTTTCAGCCAGTGTGGTGATGACACAGGGAAGGTGCCCCTCTTGTGGAGTCTTTCGGACTTCTGTTTCAGACACCTGTCTCCCTATAGCTGGGGAAGACTTGAGAGCCACCTGTAAGGCCAAATGTGTAATGTCTTCATTCATTGTACCGTCTGCCCCAAGGGCACACAGGACCAGAATGAGCTATGCAGTCAGAACAGTCTTTCCAAAGCTTCAGCTGGTAGAACTGGAGTAGCATTTAGAGGTGGAGCACTGGGAGCTCTCTGCCCTCAAACCCAAAAGCTTCCCCTCCCTGAATGCGCCCTAATCAGGGCTCCTACAGCAGCTGCTAAATGTCTTTGTCACTTGTCTTGCCAGCTCTACCCGTTCCCTGCTCTTGGACTGTGGAGAAGGAACCTTTGGACAGCTCTGTCGCCACTATGGAGAGCAAGTTGACCAAGTGCTGTGTAACATAGTGGCTGTGTTTGTGTCTCATATGCATACCGATCATCATTCGGTAGGTTGAGTGTGTTGGAAGGAGAAATGGTGCAGGCATGCTCTGCTGTTTGGGACTCAGGTTTAGCTGCAGGTGATGAATGTGGGCTGCCCTGCTGTTAGGGCTGCACGTCCCCCCCCCGCGCTAGTGAATCTGTCTGTTTCTAATCCTTGCAGACTTGCTGGGAGCATCCATAGATGTAATTTTTTAGCAGTGTCCAACCTGGCTTCCTTCAATGCTTTGTAATAAATAATCACAGGAGGGCCAGTTGGTCTGTTGTAAATTGGGCCTGATCAGGGCAGACTGTCTGTTGGTCTGCAGAAAACAGACTGGGACTGAGATGTTGTGTAGAGACTTTGTGCTCTCCATTCTTCTTCTGGGAGCAGACACAGCAGCACTGGGAAGGGCTGAGGGGTTTGTGTTGTGGGCTACTGGCAACCAGCTTGGGGGCATAAGCAGTGACAGTGTTACAGCAGCTTGGCAGGTTGTAGTTATTGGAAAAGCAGTAATCACATATTTCTGACCATAGATTTTTCTAAAAACTGCCGCTTGCTGAGCTGCAATAGCACCGTTGCCCACTTACGCCCCAGATGTTTCTGACCACAGCTTACTGTCACGTTTATTCCCTTTGCAGGGCTTGTTGAACATCCTGATGGAGAGGCGGAGAGCTTTCGTAAGTAGTAGTGTTGTTTCACTGCTCCTGAGCTTGCCTTGGAGTGAGGGGAGGGGAACTTCTGAGTAGTGGAAAAGGTTTAGGAAAAATAGGAAACCCTATTTCTCTAGGTTTTTCTTCTATCTGATTTGTTGTGTACCTAGTGCTGATTTTCCTCTCTCCCCCTCCTGCCCCGGCCTTTGCTTTTACAGGCAGCCCTTGGTCAGGCTTTCAGCCCTCTGTTTCTAGTTGCACCTGAACAGATCATGCCTTGGCTACACGAGTACCACAACCACTGTGAAGAGATTCTCGGAGACATCAAGTGAGTGTTCTGCGTGGTATGTGGAGAAATGTCCTTGCTGGGTCCTTGTTTAAGGCAAACTACTGTCATCCATTCCCCCTCACCCCTTTGTTGAAGGCAACTCTGAGTCCTTCCACTCTGTGTAGAATTAGGATGTGCAGTTTGCAAAGGGGAGGATAGGGTTTGTTACTCAGTTGTGCTACTTAATAGAGGCTTACGTGTAGGCTTTTCCTTTTGTTAGGAAAGGGGACTTGGGCAAATGAAAAAAGACTCTTGGAGGAGAGAGCATTTAACAGTGGGGAAGCGGTTGGATGAGTTACTGGGGCACTGAATAGGGAGAGCAGGGGGAAAACAGCTGCACCAAAATGTGTTGTTTGTAAGGCACTGAACTGAGAAGGAGAAATAGGCTGCTTAAAGATAAGATCAGGTTTTACTTTGTATGAGTCCTTAGTTCTCTCTTCTCCCCTCCCTCACAGAATGATTACTTCCCAGTCTCTTGTGACAGGCTGTGAGAACATCAAACCTAAAGCCAAATGGTTTGTCAGTTCTCTGTTAGAGAACTACGACTTGGCTGAGGTAAGCTGACGAGCTGGCAGGGTCAGTTGCTATGAGGGGCAAGAGGGGACCTGAGGTCTAACACTTATATCCTTGTCCAGTTTCAGACTTGTGAAGTCCAGCACTGTAAAAATGCTTTTGCATGTTCAATGATGCACAAATCTGGCTGGAAAATAGTCTATTCTGGTGACACAATGCCCTGCATGGCCTTAGTACAAATGGGTAGGTAACGAAAATGCTCTGCTTGAGCAACCTCTTGGAGAAAGGTCTCAAACTGTTAGTGTCCGAAGTGGGCACCCCCAAACCCTTGGTGCTGTGCCTGCAGCACAGTGAGGGGCTAAGGGAGGATATGAGAGTTTGTGTAGGCAGTTGGGCTGGGCTGTATTCAACTGAAGGATGAATATATGATTATTTACACAGGGAAAAATGCCACCCTGCTGATCCATGAGGCAACGCTGGAAGATGGCATGGAAAAAGAAGCAGTAGAGAAGACGCACAGGTGGGGTGTGTTCTGCTGTCTGTCACTATTAGGAAGGTGAAGATGTGGAACTTGGATTTGTCCTTGGAGCTGGTGGTGAAGGATCCAAGTCCTGCAGATGGTTCTGGTGTGCGTAGAGCTCTTCAGCACTAAGAATGGTGTGTTGCTCATTGCACCAGTTCTGTAACTCACAGCTGCACTGAGCATCCTGAGAGAGATTGGGAAAACTTTTTAAGTGGACAGTAGTAACTCTACAAATAGACTAGCCCAAAGGAAAGGTCCTCTGCTGATTATATTTCAGGACTAAGCTCAGGAGGTAGAGGAGCTGTCACACCCCCCCCAGCTAACAGCGCCATTCAAACTGAGTGCTGCAGCCTGTGATACTGAGCGCTGCCCCCAGCAAAAGTGGGGAGACCTGAGAGCAGCTTCTCGGAATTAGTGAGTTACTGTGCAAGAGAGCTGGACTTACTGGCACCCCTGGGACACGTATTTGAGTAAGCCCCTGTCCCCAGTTTCTGGAGCTCTTAACTGTAGAGCTCCAAGGAATTACAACCGCTTTCCTGCGCTCGGAATCATTTGGAAGTCAGACTCTCCATCGGTGTGGGTTGCCAGAGGACGCAGTGCCTGGGCATGCCTGCAGAGAGCAGGGACTCCTGTGCCCAGCAAGCGTTAGATGGCATCTTGTGTGGCTGTTGGTGTGATGTCACCTTTGATGCAAAGCAGCCTGGCCTGCCCCGTTGGAGTGGCGGTGCTAGCCAGGCTGTGTGTGACTGGGGTTCCTTCCGCAGCACAACCTCCCAGGCGATTCAGACCGGGATGAAGATGAATGCAGAGTTCATCATGCTTAATCACTTCAGTCAGAGATACGCCAAGATCCCACTGTTCAGTGAAGACTTCAGCGAGAAGGTTGGAATTGCATTTGATCACATGAGAGTAAGTTGGGAGCTTTGAGCCAGGCTGTGGGAAAGGTTTCAGTGTTACTTTGGGATGGCTGGTCATGAGTTACATTCTCCACTGCTGATATATTGATACACCATCTCCTTCTGAAGAGTAATCTCTGAAACAGCTCCTTTTGATGGCAGCAGGCGTCACCAGTCTGGGGGACAACAGTTGGCACAGCAAGACAGGTGCTGATGGCTGTTGAGAGCAGGAGTCTGCTCTTAACACACTGGGTACTTGACTCCTGTCACCTCTATTCTGAGCATGCTACTCCCAGCTGAAAACCTAACTTTGCTTCTGTGCCCACTCCCTTCTCAACTGGTGTGTTGCTTTAATGGCATTCTGCAAAAGATATCCAGGAGCCTGAAGCTGCGGCCATTGGATTGAGCACAGTTGTAGCAGTGAGAATAGCTCACTAATCAATCAGAACATCATTTCTTGTGAAGAAAATGTAAATAAGTTGGCCTATGGGATCTGTGAACTGACTGCTACAAAACGACGGCCTGCCTGCTCGTGTTAATGCAGCTGAAAATTGTCAGGGGGGTTAGGGCTCCTCTGTGCCGGGTGCTGCACAGAGGCAGTGCCAGTGCCCCACTGTCCAAACCGGCAAAAGATGGAGAGGAAGGGGAGGGAAGAAAAAGCAATTCTCATGTGGGTGCTCACATGCTTGATGTATTTCAGGTACGTTTTGGTGACTTTCTGACCATCCCAAAGCTGATCCCGCCTCTGAAGGCTTTGTTTGCAGATGACATAGTAGAAATGGAGGAGCGGAAGGAAAAACGGGAGATGCGGCTTCTGAAGGAGACTGTTCTAACCTTGGACAAACTGGCTGGTGGTGAGAACAAGGAAGCACCATGCCTGAAACGGAAACAAGCCAAAAACCATCAGGAACTACCAAACAAGAAGCTCAAAACAGTAAACTGAAAGAAACACAGCTGAGAGTGCTCTGCTCTGTAAGAAGGGCCTTGCTCTCTGCAGGCCTCAGGCGTGCGCAGTGCTGCAGGCACCATGGAAAAAGGGGCTGGCCTCGGCGTCTGGGTTTGCTTGGACATCAGTGGGTCTCTGTGGGCTGAAACTACCATGCACGCTGTTAGCAGCACCGGTCCTTGTGGTGACAGTACCTGCCATACAGTTCCTGTTCCTGGGTCTCACCAGCCCACGTGTCATTTTTCTTTTAGCCAAAAGTTCTTCTCTCTGAACTGTTTTAATTTGGGGTTTTATGCTAGAAGCTATTGATAGTGGAATGGCAGCAACTGTGACCTTTGCAAGAGATCAAGTTCGAGAAGCCCTTGAGGGGCCGTGGATTCGCCAGTGTAAGGCGGGCAGGTCTCTGGGTTATGAGGAATGTAACTGGGAATCAGAACCTGGCTCATAGGAGGAAATTTCACAATAAAATGGGACCCAGTTTATTTTTAGGTTAATTTAGGGCTGTGAATGCTGCTGTGTTCCCATTTTATTTTGTTTTTTCTCAGCCGATTTTTTTTTTCATAAGATGGGTTTTCTAAAACCTTTATTTAGAATCTGAATAAACCACTGAACATTGTACAGGAGGCTGTGTTTTGTCTAGAGGGCCAGTGAGGGAAAACAAATACCTGAATTGCTCCAGAATGACCCTGACTGGTTGTTTCTGGATTACAGCATCAGTGTAAAGACCAACATCTCCCCCTGATGCTGGAGCCTCGTTCTTCTTCTGGCTGTGTTTTGTGCCAGCAAAATCGTATCTGCCTCTGCTACTGTACAGGCGGGAGCCTCACCTCTGTCAGTTCAAGCTGGCACCAGCTGGGGTGGTTGTTGAATGGCTCCAAGAACAGACAAAGTGTTTCCTCGAGCAGAGCCCGGTCCTGGATGCAGGAAGGATGGCAATGCAGGCTGATGTGGGGGAAGGTCTGCGGCTAGGAAGAAGAGTGTTTTCGAGGCTTTTGGTGGGTCAGCTTTGCTGCTTCTCACCAGTGCAGTAACTGCAGGTGGGTGGAGGCAGGAGGGAGAGCTTTGGCCTGTTTCAGTTAAGGAGTTTATTTTCAGAGGGAACTTGATGGCACTGGGCCCCAAGCGCTGATTAGCAAATAATACCAGCGCATATTAAAGATTTAAGACTTCGGTTTAAGGTGACGGAAAATGAAGACACAAACCAGCAGCAAAGCATCTTTTGTTGATTAGCTATGCTTTAGTATTATGCTTGTCTAAAGAGGAAACTGGGTAATTGACACAGCAGTGTCTGCAGGGCTTTTAGTAATAGCAGGGGGCTGGGGAAAGACCAAGCAAGCATTTGTTACTGTGCAGTGTAAGTAGGGTCACGCTGGGTGCCCAGGGAGGGCACGGTTACTGCTGGGGTAAGGGAAGCAGCCGCTGGCCTGCACAGCATCCCTGTGCTTCTCTTCATAGAACTAGACCAAGGTCTTTATTTTCTAAATGAAAGAACCGCTTCTTCCATAAAGGTATTAATAAAATGGAAATACAGCAGCGTGAAGAGACTGTAGCACACGAACACCGCTCCAGGCGGTTGGTGTGAGTCTGGTGGTGGTGAGCAGCAA